ACTGCCTTCCTCACTTCTTCCTCGCGCGTTTCTCGAGTTTCACCGGTCAACTTCTCTCTCCTGCCCTCCAGCCCTCCGAGCCAAGTAAGCTCTCTTCCCTCTTCAGTTTTCATTCCCGGTCAATGTCTTCTTCTGATAGTCAAGGTATTTCTTCCTCGGATGCCTGCGCATCCGAGGAATCTTCAACCTCCTTTTCTTCGACCGGGTCCTCTTTATCCAGCTTCGAGACCCGGTCAGGCCCCAACACCACCGTCCCTGAACCGCAACCTGTTAACCAGATGCCCGGTCAGGTTTCTCAGGAGAGGGATGAACCGGTTGACGATGAGCCGGCTCCCTATGATCCTGACAGCGAGTCGTACGAGGGATGGGTGAACCGGCTAGATGCCGCCGGTTATTTTCCTCTCCCTTCCAGCTACCCGCTTGACATCTACCCCCGGGTCTCTAAGATTGCCCAGAACAAAGCCCGTAGGAATCTCCCGGAGGGGTATGTCCTTGAATACGACCCCAACTGGCGCAATATCATCGAGCCTCACCGGGACAATAGGGTAGGATTCCATATCATCTCCCTGGAGAGTGGCACCGTCTTCCCCCTCCGTCCCCTCCTTGTCGAATTGTGCCACTGTTTCAAAATCCTCCCCGGGCAACTTACGCCCAATGCCCACCGTTTTCTTAACGCTTTTGTAAATATCTGTTCCCATCTCAAAATCGACCCTTCTCTTCGCTTTTTCCTCTATTTGTTTGAAGTCCTTCCCGGTAAGTCGGGTTGCGACGGCTATGTCTATTTCAAGGGCCGTAACGGTCGCCAATTCATTTCTGACCTTCCACAAAGAAACCGGCTGTGGAAGGAAAAATTTGTCTTTATAAAATTCCCCACCGTTTCCCCTCTGGCCGGCATAAAGTGGAGTGACCACCTTTTGAAACCGCAATACATTGAGCCGGCTAATGCTCCAGACTTGGAAGAAAGTTTGGAGAAACTCTTACAAGGGGACCCGTACACCGGTCAAACTAAACTCTACCAAAAGAATTTGTGAAGCCATCCAAAAGACAAGAGTATTCCCACTCCATGGTTTGACCGGGCAACTGCCTTGCCTCCCTACGGACGTAGAACTTTCGAAGTTCTGTTGTGCCCATACCCGACCGGGGTATCTTTTTTTTTTTTTCGGTAGGTTGTAGATGGAAACACCTATAACCTAGTGAATCTTGAAGTATCCTTAACCGGTAAGAATACTGGAGATTTAACCATGTCGAATGGTTTCGAACCCTCTCCAAGGTTCAAATGCACCCTTCTTCCAGGGCCCTCTCTTCCGGGTGATTAAGTCTTTTAATGGCCCTTTGATTTCTACCGTCCCGGGAAGGCCTTAGCTCACCCCCCCGTTCAAGTCTTCCCTGAGAAGGGGGAAACAGGATGCGCCACGGTGGACGATCCCCTTCTATTTCTTTTAATGGGCATCTTTTAATCCCCAATCAGTTTGACGGCGTCGGCTGATTCCCCGAAACCAATCAAGCCTCATGGGCCCGTGTAAGTACGGTTCGAACCCTCTTCCAGGTCCAGCCCTCTTGCAGGCATACCCTCTTCCGGGCCCCTCTTCCGGGTTTTAATATTTTTTTCTATTATACTGAGCAAGACCGGTGTAGTAACCAGCGTGCCAGGTCCGGGCCTGTGTCTCAGTTTGGCTTAGCCAAGTGGATTCGATCCACCCAGGAAGCCCTCCTAGGATAGGCTCGACCTATCAATCCTGCCGCTACCAAATAAAGTATTGAACATCATCTGTTTGATTGATAATTAAGTAGGCCTTGCCTAGTATTACAATCATTTGTAGAACTTGCGAAGATGATGGGAATTCCAGGTTCTTTCTACCGGTAGCCCTTCAAGAGTTTCCAACCGGTATGTCCCCGGGCGAATGATGGCCCTAATCCTATATGGGCCTTCCCAGTTTTTTGCTAGCTTTCCCCCGTCGCCGGGTCTACTTGCTTCCCTTCTTCGTAGGACTTCATCCCCAACTTGGAAGTACCGCGGTCCGACCTTGTTATCATGGTACTTCTTCACAACTTGTTGGTATGTGCTCATTTTGACTTCCGCGGCCATTCTCCGCTCTTCGACCAAGTTGAGTTCGGCCAAGTGATCTTCCTCATTTTGTTGGGGTTGATAGTTTGATTCCCGGAACGTTGGGAATTCGGCTTCGATGGGCAGCCTTGCTTCACACCCATAGGTTAGAGAGAATGGAGTCTCCCCATGAGCCCTCCTGGGTGTTACCCGGAATGCCCATACGATGTGTGGGAGCTCTTCCAGCCACTTGTTTCCTGCTTCTCCCAACCGCTTCTTCAAACCATCTACAATAGTTCTGTTGGCGTTTTCGACTTGGCCATTTCCTTGGGGGTACGCCACCGAAGAGCGATTGTGCTTGATCCCGAAGCCCTCCAAGTATTCAGTGAATCTTGGATTTCGGAACTGTGGGCCGTTGTCGGTGATGAGGTTCATGGGCGCTCCAAACCTCGTGATGATGTTCTTCCAAATGAATTTCTTGCATTGTTGCGTGGTAATGTTGGCCAA